AAACAGCCCCACTTGGCATGCCTCACAGACCCACAGGTGGGAATAGAAAGGGGGTGGTATGGTGGATCCTGAATTGAAAACCAATGATGGTAACACAGAATAGACAGGAAAGAATAGACACCAACCCAATCCGCCCCCGAAGCTTATAAGGCAATGGCGCTTATAAGGCAATGACGCTGGGAAGACGGGCAGCAGAACCCGGTGGCTACAATCACCGCTAACTGAGGAGGATCCAAGTCCTTGGCCTCCGTTCATTCCTCCTGGGTGTCCTCAGAGCAGCAGTCTGTCCTCCAGGCGCATCTGCTGATCACAGTTGAGCTGGCTCTAGCCGAGCGCCACGTGCTCAGAGCATCAAGAAAAGACCCCTGACCCACGCATGCCATGTGCATGGGCAGTAGGGACAGAAAGACATGTTTAACACAGACTAGGGTCCTATTCGGAATTTCAGATGGCTAGCCCCATGGAAATCAACTTGGTTCGAAACCAAGTCTCCCCTATAGATTTCGGAAGGCTGCTGCCCGAACCTCTGCCCTAAATAATTCTTGTAGGCCTACTCACAGATGTCGCCAGAAACCCCAACATAGGACTTCCACATCCATAAAATTAACAGAAATAGTAAAATGACTCACAAGCAGGAGGTTAGGGCGTGGGCTGCAAGATAAAAGATCAGATAACAGATAACAAACCTGTTGCTCAACTGTTCAGTCACCCAGCCCATTCCAATCCTCCAGGCTTAACAGACATTAGACAGGACAGACATTAGACAAACTGCAAGGCAAAGAAATGGTGCCCCAAACCGAAATTACAAACAACCCTTGGACTTTCGTCCAGGGCGGGACTTCAGGGTCTCGAAATACGTCTATTTCCCCCTGAGGTCCGAATTATACAAATCACGAGTCCCTCACAGGCTCAGATCAACAAAACAGCAAATTCAAGTGGCACCAACCAACAAAAACAAGCAAACATATAACATTGAACATATAAGTTGTGAGCTCGAATCATCTTACCTCCAAGATCGAATCCACTCAGGTGAGGGGTGGTCGCAAATCCCGGACGAGCCCCCAAATGTTAGACCCCCCCAGAAAACTCAGGTATCTGGGGTCCCAGGCCACGACCACGGTCACCCCAATCACCAGGCGGATTCGAGAGCTTGCTGCAAACTGCATGAGGCTTTATTGTAATTTAACGAGCTAACCCCATGTTAGCTCGGGTCTTTCACCAACCCAATCCGCCCCCGAAGCTTATAAGGCAATGGCGCTTATAAGGCAATGACGCCTTATAAGCGCCATTGCCATAGCCATGGCGGATGGCTAGCAAAAGACAGCTCCTAGGGCCTCCCAAGAGATCTCATAGGGCAGCATAAGGGGAGTGTCTAGGGGTACGCACAGGCTCACGATTGGTTTGCCTCCAGGTTTGGAGGGCTTGCCCTGTATTGATTGGCCAACTGGTTGTTATGGCCCATA